ACTGTATTATGTTTATTAAGTTTGATCTTTATGTGGAACTAACAGTAGAGTCTGTATCAAGAAGCTCAAGTTGTATAGTAGACTAGTATGAGATCTCATATTGTTAACTCGTTGCTGTATATTATACAAATCTATCTATTTTACTGTTGTCACATCTATAACTCTCTGTATAGTGTATAACACCTTTACTGCTATATTTTACGAAATAAAGTTGCTGAGAAATAATGTTTTTGACCATCGTTCTTGTGAGAATATCCTTTCGTTACATTATTTTAGAGTCAACTTTGTTTTTGGATATAGATGGAAGATTTAGAAAGAAATTACTTTCTGTGCAAAGGTCTTATTTAGTAACATTTTGATACAGTGAAACTTTAAGTAGGAATTTGAAAAAAATAATAAAGAGTTTAAAAAAGGGATCAGGGGTGGTTAGATTACTTTCTTAGTTGTGTTAAGTGTCAAAAAAAATTGTTTACGTAAAGAGGTAAATAAAAAAATATAAAACATTTAAACCTCTTCGTGTGAAACCTATATACATTAGTATATCAAGTATAGAATATTTATAATTCCAAATATTATACAGTTTTAATTTTACTGTATTAAAGCTTCGTTCGGGAGCTTCATTTGTCTAACCTTTGCCACTGTGGAGGAATATGTGTTCATGCATTTTTCATTTGTCTAAATTATAAGAACTTATAAGCATAAAATTCCGTTAAAAAATAACATGATCTTATCTCATATTTGTAAAAAAATCCAGTACAATGTTCTTAAATAAACATATTTTTAACCCAACATAATGCATTAACAGCTATAATTTATCATATCCAAACTCCATTCCACATTCATCCATTGTTCATATTCAGCATAAGTATGCAACTAAGTGTGCATAACTGTCTTAAAGATTTGGATTTTAAAAGTTGTTTTGAGAGGGGAGATTGGATTTTCATATAAGTGGTTATCAATCATGAGTGTCAACTGGAAGTTGTGGCGGTTTAAGAGGAAGCAATTCCATCTCCTTCACCTTACCCTGACCTTGAAACAACAGCTGTTAATAATCTAGGGGAACCCAGAAAAACTTCCCCTCAAACCGCCTTAACTTTTCGAACAAACTTTAGATTATGTACATCCATCACTGAGTGTGACCGTCTCAAATGTGCTCAATTGTGTTCTAATCGGAAAAGGAACTTCCTTCTATAATGCTTTTTTGTGTTTTAGATGGCTTTGAGGAGCGTTATGTCTGTGTGTGTGGCAGAACTTACCGTCAAAAGCGCAATCTTACGCAACACCAACGTTTTGAGTGCGGAAAAGATCCTTCCTTTTGTTGCCAATACTGTGATTATAAAGCCAAGCGCAAGAGTACCCTCCAATCTCACATTATATTTAAACATAAAGTTGTTGAGTAAAATTATTTAATTAAATGTTACCAGTAAAAGTTGTTTGAGAGTAATAAAATTGAGGACTGTTACCAAAATAGATGTTTTAATACCTTTTTTACATGTGAAGGTAGTTTTTGGTTATATGTAACTTTTATAGATGTATACATAAGTCACTCAGAAGTTTTAATCAAGCACAAAACCACTTTAAGCAACACACCCATTATATTAAAATTAACCGATTGTTTTTCTGATATTTTGCTGATTAATTTGTGTTTTGGTTTTACCATCTTTAGAAAATTAAATCATGATAGGTCTTTATAATTTTATACTTTTGGTCGGTAAAATCGTAAAAGAACAAAAAGGAAAACAGGTTTATGAAATAAAGGCCTAAACAAACCATTTCATGAATATGTTGTTTTATTTTGTTATTGACAGGAATAAGTCTACAACCCTCATATCACTGATTTACCTTTAGACAATATTAGGCTCTATGTCTTCAACAATAATCTGTGTTTGATGCAAATATGAAAATTTTTAAACATTGTAAACATTCAAACTTTCAGAGTCCAGCTTCAAACACGTTATTGTAAAGATGAAAAAAAAATTCAGTGTATGTTGTAAATTTAAGAAATTGTTCTATTATTCTTAACAAACATCTTTGTGTTACTTTGCAGACTTAGATATCGAGACTCGACATGTTTGTTCCACCTGTGGCAAGAGCTACAAACAAAGGAACTCGTTGATACAACATTCACGATACGATTGTAACACACCTCCACAGTTTGCTTGTCATCTTTGTGATTACAAAGGCAGACGAAATGCATACCTTCAGACCCACATATACAAGCGCCACAGACTTACATATACAATCTTATAATACAAGCTGTCACTATAAATAATCCTACCGCCATGATGTAAATGACCTTGAAGCAAAGATGGATCTCAAGCATAAGCTTTTTAAATATTAAAGACAAGTCGCTGTTCTACAAGATCTTCAGTAGGAACTCCTCAACATTTGAATACAAGCCCCAGCCAGCCCCAAATCATTCAAGTATCTTCATGGCAAGATATTCAAGTAGAAATTCCTCAACATTGGAATACAAGCCCTTGCTTATATTTCACCTACATTCATTGCAAGATCTACAAGTATGGACTCCTCAACATCGGAATACAAACCCTAAATTCAACAACATTCATGGCAATATGTTCAAGAATGAATTCCTCAACGTTTAAATACAAGCCCTTGCTTATCTTTCAACTACCTTCACGGCAAGATCTTCTAGAATGAACTCTTCAACATTTTAACACAAGCTTGATCTAAATCATTCAACTGCAGCCATGTCAATTACTCAAAATTCTAACTCAAGTCTATTTTCTAAATCACTTGATTACACAATATTAAGGCCTTCAAGTGTAGTGAACATCTCATTAAAATGTTGAAACCACAAACTAATGCACCACCATTTTCAAGCATTAATCCCAAACTCTTGAACCATAAAAAAGATGAAGATCAAAATATGTGTAGTCAAATTTATCTTAGAATCCATTAGGCTACACCAAAGTCTGAGACTAATCAATTACTATCGTAATTATCACAACTATATTTTTGTCAACTATTAAAAGTGTAATTAATTGTTGTGACTGTAACACACCTAAGGCCCGATTTCACCAAACTTTTAAACCGCCGTTAAGCCTTGCTCTAACTGCAGTTAGCTCTTAACTGACGAAATCGGATTTCACCACTCGCCGTTAGCGCTAGTTTAGACTAAACCGTCGTTAGATAATTAACTGCCCAATTTTGACCGGTTAGCTTCTTTAATCTTTCGTTAAGTAAATATCAGCTGGCTTTAAGTTTAAAGTTTATATGGAAAGGCGAAATGGTAGAAGAGAATACGGTACGAATTAGCTTTTGAAAGTAAGTGATGGCAATGAAGAGTAGCCTATGTTGTTCTACCAACTAGGTGGATAAGAGAAAGGGTTAATGATTTAAATAACAAACATGAAATTGATTTTATTATTAGATATGAGCTATCAAAACGTTTAGCCTTTTTTTAGGGAATGAATACAAACCACTGTAGTATTTGTGTTTAGGCTATCCCACATAGTGCATTGCTTGCTTTAGGTTATCCCACAAGGTTTTTAGTTAAGGCGTATATCTGTGATTAGCGACCGCATTGAACCACAGTCTAACAATAAATAATTTATACAGACTTTATTTATATTAGACTGTGATTGAACTGATTGGCGATCAAGAGCCGTACTCTTTTATCCCGGCTCTTCTACCAACATTATCAAATTTATTATTTCATTGTTCGAAAAAAAAGGCTCCCTTTTCCTTCTCCCGGCTTTGGGTAACCCTAACCCAACGTTCAAACAATTGTTTTGCGTTCGGTCAGACGTAAGTAAACCAAAGTTGTCATTATTCTGCTAGTATTTTATAGAAAATAATTATTATTGTGTTATCTACATTGTGTCTCGTTCTTGTAATTCTTTTGACTCCAGTTTTTTCACTACTTCAAATGTACCAAACTGGTTAGTGAACAAACAGAATATTGAACATCCCTGTAAAAAGTTGGATTTTGAGTCTTGACTCGACCGCAAAACTCAACCAATTAGTTCCTCGAATATGTTTGATCAACATTGCTTTGCCATTATTTACTTATGTTAATTGTTTTGGTATTTTATCTTGCTTTTTGTTGTTATTTTGCTCAGAATCTATTGTATTCCTGTAAGCTTGCTGTCTCCAGTTTTGTTTTCACTACCTCATAAACACTGATTTATTTTCTAGGTTATGTTTACTTGCTCCCGTAACAGCCCGGTATTATGACAGTTCACTGCCACTGCCACCTGGATTTTACTCTAAACTCTCGTTTATAAAACCAGCGTTAGTTTTGACGCGTTTTCGTTGGTGAAACCAGATTTCCTTAACTGTGGTTTAAATCATCGGTTAGTTTTAACCGAAGTTTAACTAAACCATCGTTAGCGAGAATTTGGTGAAATCGGGCCTTAGTAATTTAAATGATAGGTAACAGCTAACAGCAATTTTAGTATCACTTGTTAAATGCCCATATAGAATTCCATTAAGTGCTCTTAATGATGCTCGATATAAAACAGCATCATCTATAAACAAATAAACAAAGAGAATAAATTATTACATGCGATTTATAGTCGTTACATAATTGGTCAGACCTTTTATATGTTATTATAATTGATATGTTATTGACCTTAATATGTTTATTGTTAATTTTTAAAGATATAATTTATACAATAGAAAGAACTAAATATAATTAAAGAGTCTAACATTTTAGATTTTGCCTAGCTGCTTCACTCGTGTTGATGTTTTGTTTCGGTTTTTGTAATGACATGTTCTTAAGTGTTGCATTCATGTCTGCATCTGTATACATGTGTTAGTTTCAAATAAACTTTGTCAATGACCAATGAATTGATTACAGTTTACACCTTAGAGGCCCTCAAATAGTTTAATCAAAACTAGTTTTTATCGACCATAACAACCAATACTACATAACCATTTAATGTATAACAGTAATCAGAAGTCTAAACAACTTCATAAAAATGAAGTTCAATGTTTGTTGATGTACATGTTGCTAATACCATCCTATGTTGCAGACGACTATGTTCCTCAGTTCATACTGGCCTCCGTGGAGGACTTGGCTACAGCTGATCCCACCAAGCATGTCTGTCAACAATGCGGTCGAGTTTACAAACAGAAGAGCACACTCGCCTTTCATTTACGATACGAGTGCGGGAAAGAGCCGCAGTTCTCCTGTGAATTCTGTCCTTACAAAGCGAAAAGAAAAACTAGTCTTAACTCTCACATTGTTTTCAAACATAAGAAAGTGCTGAACAAATAGTTTTGAAGTTTAGAAATTTATCTGCAGCGTTGATAAACTTAATTTTTTACAAATTTGTAATACCTTGTAATATTTCATTTCATTCATTCATTATTTATTATTAAGTTTCTTAAAATATGTTATCTTTTGTTCAGACACCTTTGTTATTAATCACTCCTCAGAAAGTCATCAAGATCTATAATTTTAAGGCTGGACTAGTATTCATTTACCTAATTTATACAATTCCATTAATCTATGTTCAATTAAACATTTATAATATCTATTCCATAGCCTATGTATATATTTTTTTTTTACAAAGCCCAAAACTCATTTATTTATTAAATATGTAAGAGAATTGCAATAATGGTACAGCAAAATTTCTTAAGATATAATTTCAAAATTGAAGAAGACTGAAGAGAAGGAAGCCAGAGTTGAAAGTTGAAACTGTTAAAAGAAGGAGTCCAGATTTCATCTAAGTTAAATTAATTCATTTCATCAAGAAAATTCAGTTTATATTCAATTTATTTTACAGACAACATCAAGAGGACTCAACTCCAACATTATTTTCCAAAATTAAGTATAAACTTTTCTTTTAAACTCACTTAATTTCAGTGTACATTGGATTTACCTTTTGGACAACCCAAAAATTTTATTTTCATTGTTAGGATGTTGTAAGTTTAACACATTAATTATTTGGACAATATTTAATTAATTCATCCCTTGCATTTAAGCCAGCACGACACCCTACCTTGAGATAGAGCCCATCTAAATTATACTATTGTAAATTTGAACCTTTATTTAAAACTTATCTTCCATTTTATTGTAACTTAAACCTACATTCCATTGTCAGTCTTTTCATTGTCTAGCCTTTTAAATTTCGTTAACTATCTGTCAATTTTGTTCCAATAAAATAATTACCTTTTGTAATTTTATATATCGTTATGTTATTCCACATAGAATGGGCCTAGCCTAAAATTAATATTGTGTGGAGAGTTTACAACCTCCCAAAACCGTTCGTCTAGAGGTAAACTATGTTTAAACTTTGACTGAACGTTAGTGATAATTTATTTGGAATAATTTTTAATCATTATTATTTTTCTAAGAATATTTAAAGGGATGAGTGGTTTGTAGCTTATTTGCTTCTTCATGAATTTAAATCAAGCAACTGTGCTTGTGTACCAACACAGACTTGTAAATGTACTTTATTTATCGGTTTATGTCTCTATTTTAAGTCTGTATTTATCAGTTACAAGTTACAAGTACAATAAATGTAACAGAAAGTCACAAAACAGTTTCTAACAAGGACTAATGTTCTGATAACCTATATCCTCAATGATAGCATTGTCTTTGTATAGAATTAGATATTCTATCCTCGTTTTAATAGTAGTAGACATTTTTTGAATTAAATTAATCCGAGGTGCATTGGTGATTTCTGTCAAGTACAACATTTGACAGAGTAAAACTGAAAAGTCAATATAGTTAAATTATCATTTTCATCTTACATCAACTATCTCAGTGAAAAAAACATTGGCAATTTAAAATTTCATACTGTAAAACACTCTGGATTATCGATCTTGGACCTTTTTGAACAAAACGATTGGCTACAACACGTACACGGGTCTGCGGTTAGCGTGTGATGGGTCCAAGAGGCGCACAGAGATGATTGTGTCCCTCTTCTTATTTGCTCACGGAGGAATCTTTATCTTCTTTGCACCTCCAACACCATGAAACCTCTTCCGCCTCTAGGGCCGGCACATTTACTATATCGGCTCAACTGCATAGAGATGAGATGTTTATTTCAGTCAACAATGATTTTAACCTGAAATCTTGTAGTTTCCAGTGGTGAGCAGCGCTACAAGTGTGACCGATGTGGGTCGGAGTACAAACAGAAGTATTCGCTGACATTTCACCAACGCCATGAGTGTGGCCAGGAGCCCAAGTTTCAATGTCCTCACTGTCCTTACAAGGCTAAAAGAAGAACTTCACTCCAGTCTCACGTCTTCTGCAAACATAACATTGTCAGCTAATGTGATGAGAAATTTTGTAACTTTCTTTAATAAAGTTATTTTTAGATGATTTATATTCTGTTGAAACTTATGACTTGGATTTTGGTTTAAGCTTAGGTTACAAAGTCGTGAAACTACGCAAGAAAATAGGTCCGGGTTGATAGCACACATTTGACCTCTCAAAGGGTGTTTGGCTTCTACAGAGGGAAGGAATAGAATCTCAGGAATATTTCCTTCTGAAGAAAATGTCAAATCAATTTTTTTGCGAACTGTGTGATATCAACTGTCTGGATCTCACGTAACTTAGAATTAATAATAATGGCTGTAACACGATGACTGATGTGTATAGCCAAGGTAAAACGTGTAAATTTTTTTGAAGTAAATAACAACATTTACGTTATTTCAACAAACAAAAATATGCTATTTGAAACATTGAATTTGTATGAATGGTTAATTTGGGAAAATCAGTCTAGTTATTTTTAGTCATAAAGGGGTTCGGCTGATCTAGTTGATAGTGTTGGTCTTTCCCGGAGTCCCGGGACCAAATTTTGACAATCACCAAACGCTTTTAGTTATGTGATAACCCATGGTTTGGAATATATCTTAACCTTTATGCTTAGGCGTGGAAAATTGTCTATCTCTAGTAGTCAGGTAGTTCCCACTCATGTAGCTACATGTAGATTTATACTACACAAACATGGGATGATTGTCACTTTTATGAAAATTCGAACATAATCCTCTCCAGTCACAGAGAAGTTTTTCCCTTCCGAATTGTCTAGGTAGTGAAGGATGGTGCCCGCTTTCATAGCTGAAGGTTTGATCCCCCAAGCAAGACCGTTTTCAGACCCAGATTGTATTTATCACTACGCTATCAATTAATTATCAATGAATTAATTAACAATGCTAACTAACAAAAGGTTGGCATAAAACACAACCAAGGTTTTAAAATTTCCCATAAAAACTTTTTCAAATACAATTGCATATACAAAGAATAACTAGTGGCCTGTAGGGGCCATAACCCCTAATTTAGACTAAAATAAAAAACCATATATAAAAAGACAAATATTCGAAATATGTTTTTAAAATTATCAATTTTATGTTACTTAAAATTAACAGCGTTTCTTGTTTTATATCTTGATTTTCCTTCCGTTGGAGTCGTATGCTTCTGATGTGCAATGAAATACAATTGTAAAATAATGATTAAATCAATAACACAACATATTAACAAATGGAAACATGCACACGGTTTGGCCTGAGCCCGGAGAACAACGAATCAGAGCTGAAATCATACAGCCAAACACTGCACATCTTTTCTAGTTTAAATTTGAAGATTTGTTTTGTAATCTTACGAATTCTGCTATAGTTTCCATTTTGAGAACCAAATGTAAAGGTTAAAATTATTATTAATTATTAACTCCCCATTTCGCGGTAGTAACTCAGAAATATATCTATGAATTTGTACCTTAATTTTAAAACATTAAGGCCCATTTCCCGGAATCTCTTTTTGTGTAGCGGAAAGCAACGCAAAAGCCATTGCACTTGTTGTATTGTCTTATGTTTTTTATGATGTTCGAATCATGTAAAAACCGTTCTTTTAGTTCGTCATTTACTTGTAGTTGTGGCATGTCCATTGTGGCAACATGCGTTGAAATGTCCATTTGTGGCCTCCTCTGCGAAGTGAAATGCGCCACAATGCATGCAAGTGCTGTTAAGAGGACCTAGATTGTGAGTAACAACACTCAACTCATTTTCCAGCGTTCTACTAAAGACAGGTTTTAAAACAGCTTCTGGATTTCTTTCACAGTTAGGCCCTACATGACATTCTCTTTCAGCATTTCTTAAATCTGTTGAATTCCTGGACACTCTTCCACGTCTTGCAGGTCTTCCCCTACCCTGTCTAGTTACTTCACTCATTTTAAAAACGGAAAACAAAAAATTAAACAAATACAATTCATTTTGAAACATTATTTACCAACATTGACTTTCGGAATAAAGGTCAACATTGCAAATAAATAAGTAACAGCTGATAGAGCAGACGTTTTTCAGTCCCCATGCATTTCTTATGGTGGATATTTTATGTTATATCTCGTTTTCTGGTAACTTTATGGGAATTCTGCTATTTTTCCCGAGTCCCTGGGGTCAAGACCTTTAATTTAAGACCTCTCCCACTTTTCTGCGACTTACCAGATGTCCACAATTTTCTGGTAAAAACTTTGTCTTACAGAATTATATATATAGATATAGAAGATTTATAAGCTTATTAAATTCTATAACCCTGTGGTTTTAATTTCTAATCTTGTACCTTTTATTGCCCAGCGCCGTCCCAACCGCAGTTTCCTTGCTCGTGTGGCCGAGTGTACAAGCAGAAGACAGGTCTGGTCCAACACCAACGCTACGAGTGTGGCAAAGAGCCGCAGTTTCAATGTCACTTGTGTTCCTACAAGGGCAAGAGAAAAACTTCTCTCCAATCCCATCTGATGTTCCGTCATAAACAGGTGGACGTAAAGAAAACAGGACTGGACGGAACTCTGCTGTGAAATTTATAGAAACTATCGTGTTTTGTTGTATTTGTTTAAAAACGAGTGGTTAATATATATTGTATGAGTTTTCAGAATTATTATTTATTTTTATTGTACAACCTGATTTTATATGCATGTTTAAAATTGTCAGTACTAAAATTCACATTGATGTGTTTTCCAAAAATCGTATCATTGATCGTAAATTGAATTTTGCTGGTAAAAACCCTTGAGGAAAAAAAATTCCTGGTGTTCTGACAACCAGATCACATTACATAGAAAGAAAAATGTTTGGACCAATAAAAAAGTCAGTAACTAAGTACGTAAATTTCAAGGTGGATGGTTCAAACCTTTGAGATGGAATTATTTCCTTGTGGTTGAACAACAGGTGGACGTAGTTTCGAAAACAATAAAAATCGTTTAGACTATTTAATAAAAATAAATATCACTGTTATTATAAGCACACACACACACGTCCAAACAAACCTAAACACCTTAACCATCGCAAACTCATCGCAGTTATAATCTCTATATTTTTAAAAACTGTTAATTTTTTTAAAGATTATTGTGATTGATTGTGTTGCTTGTATTCTGATACTCCAACCAAAGAATATGCCTTAACACTGTAAATAACCGTAATTAAATGGAAAAACATAGCCAGCATCTTAAAATTGTAACACAAACCAGAATATCGAAAATTGGCCCATTTTGTATGAATATTTACAAACCACTTAAATACACAAACCATTTAAATTAATGTAAATAAATTCTTAATAGCAAAATATATGTTTTTGTCTTTATCGGTAAATAGTTTTTAAATTGTGTTTATATAAAAGAGGTTTTAGGAAAATAACGATTTGTACTCTACATTTAACTAAGGCAATAATTACTGATATAATTTTTAATGAGTATTTAGACAATGTTATTTAATATTTTTGAACTCAATGAAATAATTTTTACCAGCCAGATTTACAGCTTTTAAGACTTAAATTTTTTACTCCGTCATTTTACATTAAAAGGTTATTTTGACCCTACTTTGTCTGATGATTTATGTAAAGATTGTTTCAAACAATTAACACTTCTTGTATTTAATTTAATTGGTTCTATGTTGTCTCTCTTTTTGGTGTTTCTGTTCTTTGTTTCAATATAGTTTTAATTTGTATATTTCCCCCTTCACCATTTAGTAAACTGAGTATAAAATTTCACATTTACAGACTTTTCCTATGGGATGACGTCACCACATCTGATGCAACCAACAATGGACTCGATGATGGAACATTCTCAAGAGCAGAACAAGCACAAATGTCCACACTGCGGAAAACTTTACAAACAGAAAGGGACTTTGACGTTTCACCTTCGCTACGAGTGTGGGAAAGAACCGCAGTTTGCTTGTGAATTATGTGAATACAAGGCAAAACGGAAAACTAGCCTAACCACACACATGGCACTGAGGCACAAAAGCAGAATGATACAATAATTGTCATGAAATTAAAAAAAAAAAACTATTTTATATTTCATAAATACTTTGTTGGTTTTATTAGAGATTTTCTATTTTATTCCAATAAATTAATGTTTATATTTATCATCACATATTTTACATTAAGATTCGGTACTTTGGTACTATAACGACCACACCTAATAATAACCTAACCCACGATGTTTTAGGTTAGGTCAGTGTTATAACCAATTAAAATCTTATCAGGAAGTTCATGTATTGGTGTCCTCGATATAATACCAAAGTACCAAAGATTGTATTACATTTCCTTTCACCGTTTTAAGAATTGTAAATAATACAAAGCACAACAAATGTATATGTAATAAAATGTTTCAAAACCTGGATTTCTTATTTATCTGTCCTGATTTCCAATTTATACTTCAATATAAATGTCTTAAAAGTGATATCAACTGCAAAGAGTAAACATTTCCCTTTGAAATTCAAGCATTATACATTTGGTACGACAGTATAAAATATATTAAACAAATGCAACCAAAAAACTTGTGATTTTTGTACTTGATTACTGAGTAATTTAAAATTAACCTCTTGATAATTGATAAAATGTTTAATTAGTTTTCAAGTTACTTTTTATTACAAAAAACACAATGTGGAAAGCGTGAGTTTTTGGTTTTAATTTAATTTAAAATTTTGTGGCCCAAGTATTCAATCCATGTTTGCGGGAGTTAAAGGGTAATTAATCGGAATATGGAACAAAGTTCACTGTTTTCTGTTTCAAGGCTTGATCTTTTGATTTATTGAGTACAGTTATTTTTGTCACCAACTTTGTTTCTTCAAAATTCCAACTAAGATTACGTTACCAGTTCTTGTGATGCAGCAAGATTTTCTGAAAAAGTTTGGTACTAACATTCTTAAAATTTCAGACGGTGTTCCACATTCTTCCGAAAAAAGAACAGAGCAAGGTCACTCGTCAAATGTGAAGTATTCAACAAATAAAACCCAATCTAATTTATGTCAGGCAGCTTCTGGAAGTAACACAAGCTTAAAAGAAAGTGAGGAAATCATTGTTACAAAGGATAATAGCTTGGCTGGAGTGAAGATGGATATGGATTATAAAGTTACCAGAGGCAGATGTTCAACTAATCAAGACATTCCACAATATTCTCAGCAGGGATCTTCTGGGATTTATCCCAATGCAGAAAATATTGGAGCAACCGATGAACTAGAAATGACTAAACTAGAAACTGACTCCCGCTATGGTAAGTAAAATTCCTACTATTATTTTTTATCATTTTTGTTTTCATTTGATTTGATTGTAGTTTTTGTTTGATTGCCTTGATGAGTTGTAAAAAGTACTTGAATTGTAGTCTGCTCTAAAGATGGAATGCTACAATGCATTAAAAATTTTTGACAGTATTTTCTTCACTTTAACAACCACAGTCATAATTCTAAACCTAGATTCGACAGTCTTATTTTTCTGGATTAAGTTTTTTGATTGTAATGATTTAAAGTGGGAAATATTAACACTAGATTAAAGGAAACAACAAAATTGATTATACAGTCCTCTTTAACTGCAAAAGCATCCCTTATAGTTTTAAGTGAAATTAAATTTTGCAGAAGAAGGCTCTACCTCAACCCCACCTCCCAGTATGATGGAGCCAATAGTTGAGGTCATATCTCCTGAAGAAATCAGCAAACATATTTGCGAGCAGTGCGGGAAACTCTACAAGCAGAAAGGAACGCTCGCATTCCACCTTCGCTACGAATGTGGGAAGGAACCACAGTTTTCGTGCGATTTTTGTGACTACAAAGCAAAACGCAAAACTAGTCTAAATTCTCATGTGGCGTTTAAGCACAAAGACATGATAAATTTGTACCTCGGTAAATAAGTTTTTGCGTCAATGTTTACTTGGTGTATCCCCATCAGCTGTTTGCTTTTACCCATCAGCTGTTTAATTGGATAAAAAATATTCTCCTAACTTGATCTCCGTAAAAAAATTGGCTTTTACAGATGTTTTGATTTAATTGTGTTGTAGAACTTGTGCAACACCTAGCTAGAATATGTTGTGTCTCTGTGGTTGAATCAGTTTCAAAATATTGTTGTCGTAATTTTTTTAGTTTGACATCAGATAAAGTACTGAGCCTATCCCACCACTTAATGTTAGTGTTTAGAGTTTATGGAAGTTTATCCATGAATGTATTTTAGAGGTGTTAATCATGTCTCGATGGAGTATATGTAGTCAATTGTGTTAGGGACAGTTACATGTTATAAGTTGCAAGTCTCTTCGTATTTTGTTAAATTTTCTTTGTCTATCAATGTTAAAAGTACTTAATTCGTTCATACTTATTTATGATCTTCTCTAGGATTCACGCTAAAGAACCGTTGTAAGGAAGCTTCATTGATTTAATTCTTTAGCATAACACTATTACTGTATGTTGTAAATGTGATAATACTATCACTGAGATAGATTGTTATTGTTAGAATGCTGATACCAAAGTTTCATTAAATGTGTCATATTCATTTTTTTGTTAACCTAGAATCTTATCATTTTCATCATTTTTGAAACTGGAAATAAATTGTCTTAAAAGCAATGTCTTTATTTCATGTAAAAAAAATCTTTTTTCTTTTTTTATTTCAGAAGCTGTGTTATGAAGACTTTTTTAAAAGACATTTCCTTTTGTTTTTCAAAATTCATGTTTTCGGCCCCTGGACTATATTGTTAAGACAATAATAGGTTTTTTACATACCTCAGTCAAATAGTCCAAAAATGGTATTGCTCAACAGCTTACATGTTTCGTTGCGAAGACAACATTATCAAAGCTTGCAACTCGTCAAAAACACATTTAAAACACGAACACGAACACAGAAGACATTAATACGGTACGAATACACAATTGACATTTAGATAGCGCTATCATAATACTGATTTGGTCCGGCGCGGCGCGGGGCTGGTAGCAGACTGGAGGTCACGTCACATCGTCTCCTCTACTGTTATCACTGATGTTATCAGATCTTCGATCAGCTGTTCCTGAGTTTAATATTGTATTAAAAATCGAGTGAGACTGGAACTGTAATTTTTCGTTAAGGATGTGGTCCTTACACTGTTCGTCATTATAAATTTTATAAATCTCGAACTCCTCCAAGGTGTCAAGTTTGCTACCTTTCCCACAGACATGTAGAATTTTTAAACCATCGTCAATGCTACTCATTGAGTGATTTGAATCAATCAGGTGTTGTGCGAAGGCTGACAAACAAAAATCAGCCTTCGCACAACACCTGATTGATTCAAATCACTCAATGAGTAGCATTGACGATGGTTTAAAAATTCTACATGTCTGTGGGAAAGGTAGCAAACTTGACACCTTGGAGGAGTTCGAGATTTATAAAATTTATAATGACGAACAGTATAAGGACCACATCCTTAACGAAAAATTACAGTTCCAGTCTCACTCGATTTTTAATACAATATTAAACTCATGAACAGCTGATAGAAGATCTGATAACATCAGTGATAACAGTAGAGGAGACGATGTGACGTGACCTCCAGTCTGCTACCAGCCCCGCGCCGCGCCGGACCAAATCAGTATTATGATAGCGCTATCTAAATGTCAATTGTGTATTCGTACCGTATTAATGTCTTCTGTGTTCGTGTTCGTGTTTTAAATGTGTTTTTGACGAGTTGCAAGCTTTGATAATGTTGTCTTCGCAACGAAACATGTAAGCTGTTGAGCAATACCATTTTTGGACTATTTGACTGAGGTATGTAAAAAACCTATTATTGTCTTTTGTTTTTCCTCAAAAACAGATACTTCCTTTTGGTGTTCGCTCAATCTGAGAAGGAAGTTTTATTTAATAATTTTGAGTGTCCCCCAAAAATGGGGGATTTGGGGGGCAACAGTTCGCTATCTCTTCTCTATCCAAAATCGTAGCCTGTCTAATGTATTGAAGTTTACACATATTACAAAGATAAGAAAAATTAATGTAATGGTAATGTTGGCCACCATTTTGGATATCTCTGCATATCCACTCTGAAAAATATTAGATGGGGGTCTTTACTTTTGATTCACCCTGTAGAATGTTTGATCTTCCAAGGAATAAGTTTAAATGCTCTTATCGAACTGCCAATCAAGTTTACTATGAAATCTTTTCAGGAAGTTACTACTATTTTAATACCGACTCTGGTGAGCAGGATAAGAAGTTTGTATGTGATTGTGGCCGCAGATACAAACTACGCTCAAGTTTCCTGCTACATAAACATCAGTGTGGTAAACCTTGCAGATTTTTCTGCGAGTTGTGTGACTTCCAGACTAAGAGAAATTCGTGCCTGCAAAAACATGTGCTCAGAAGGCACAAACCAACTCAGTAAAATACCAATGTAACTGAAATACTGACGATTAAATATTTTTTTATTCATTCTGTGTTAATTTTTTGTAAAATTATATAAACAATGACCATTGAAAATGTGTTTTTTATTCTCATTAATGCATTACTAGACACAAAAAGGTTGCCACTCCTGAAATCTATAATGTACACTTTGTAACACTAGATGTTACTACGAGTAATAATGTATACTATTTTCCTCGTAAAATACAGGAATTAAGGGTGGTTGCTGAAACCTAGGCTATGCCCTTTTACCCTTAAAAATAATTCTAGAGTCAATCCTGTCACTAACCAGTCTCCAAAGAATTTTTCTAGGTTTTTTTTTCATACAAAAGTTGTATTACAGAACAACTGTGCATACTTTTTAAAACTAACACTGGTTTTGAAATTAAAATATATATAATACGATCTATTGGATTCATCACACATCCCTCAGTACAGAAAATGTAAAATGTACAATGTAATGTAAATGTGTACAGAAACATTTAAACTATTCAAGAAACGTCACTATTCAAGAATTCATCAACTGTATTAAATGCTTTTGAATGAAAAAGTACTATGATTCTTATATCATCAAAACAACCACATATATTTTCATTCAAAAACTTATGACAACTTTAACATGAGGAAGTCTAGTTCTTTCTATAGACAAAGCTGTACACGTACTTTGTTATTATACTGACCACACTTCGATAAATCAACTTCCAAATAAGATTTTAATTTGTTTAAATATAAAAATCTTCCTAACCTAAACTAAACCACCTTTGGTTAGGATGGGTTGGGTTAATTATTAGGTGTGGACGTTATAATATCAAAGTAACCTTTTAAATTAGCTTTCACATATTGTATATCATCTGATTTTTCTCATGCTTGACACATCATTTGCATTTTTCTTCTAGACTTCCTGGGTATGCTAGTGAGCGAAACAGTGCACAAACTATCCTCAATCAAGTTTGATTGTCCGTCTTGTGGTCGAAGATTCAACCACAAGAACAATCTTTACCGACACCTCAAGCTGGATTGCGGAAAACTGCCAACTTTGGAATGCCAGCTTTGTCAGTACAAGTGCAAAAGAAAAGACCAACTCAAAATGCACATGGCCTTAAAACATGGGACGATATAGCTTGTTGTAGTATCTAGACAAAGTTTTATTGGAATGTTGATATTATATTAAGTAATGTGTACTAGCAATATTTTTAAATAAATTTATGAAATTATATTTCACAGTTTCACACTCTACCTTTTTCTTTTTTACAGCCTTAATTATTGTATTTTAAAAATGAGCTCTACTTGATTCAAAATGTTTATGAATGACTTAGGATATTTAAATTTTCTCTTAAGTTTTACATAATCTATTCATTATTTATTACTCTGGTCCCCTCCATGGGCAGTTTGATAGTTAAAAATTAACCCTTTAAACTGGAATAGGACTGTTATGTAAATTGTGAGTATTTCCATTAGTTAATAATCTTTTAGTCGACTCTTTTAAAATCATCGGAAATTTTGACTGTTATTAGTTTTTAAACAAGTCATTTGTTTATAAATACCTCCTGTACTTCTTTGCAATTGCTCGATTTCAAGCAACATGTACACTAGTTTAAATAGTTACAGTATTTTTGTTGCTGTATAGTAAAAGTGTGTATTAGTATTAATCAAAAGTTGTTTATGTTATTTAATTCTATACAATGCAACAAGGCAAGTTAGTAGGTACTAGCATGTTAACCATGTGCAAGTTATCATAACAACTTCTCTTATGAGTCACGTGCAATACTTTTCGTCACACTACTGTACCAGCAAAAAAACACACGGTAGGTAAAAAACAACACATACATATCAAAACAATACTGTTTAATATGTATACAAATTACACAACATTTTCACAGAAATTTCATAAGTTTTAATGGATGTATATTTTTAATAGTTAAAAACCTGCCCAATTTTAGCTGAGTGATTATAGTGCTCATGTAATAATCAAAGGTTGCCAGATTTATCCTGAAAAAAGTCAGTCGCTTTTTGATGGTTCAAAACTGGTCTTAGCTTTTCGTGATTATTGGACTTTAAATAAATTATACTGGCTAATTATACAGTTGATCTTATCAACAGGAACAAAGCAAGACATATCATCTCACATCTTTCTACACTCATCCTTCACTCATATTTGGGTTAAAATACGCAACTAGGTGGCGTCCCCATGTCAATTTCATAATTGATCATTTATTGCGTTGCTTCCTTGTTAGCCTAGTGAAGAAACTTTTAAGTTTATCCTATTAAATCACCCTAAGTTAATCCTGTTAAAACTTACTGTTCCATAATGGATTGTGATACTAACCATTTTCTACAATAATTTCATATTATTTTAAATTAATTTTATGTTGTGCGGCACAGATGAAAAAAATAAGAACTATGACTGAAAACATTTTTCAGTTGACGGGTTTGTGTGTGCTCAGTGCAGTCGGCTTTACAAATCCAAGACAGGTCTATACACCCATCTCCGCTACCAATGTGGCAAAGAACCGCAGTTTCTGTGCCACTTGTGTCCATACAAGTCCAGGCTCAAGGCCAGCCTACAATCACATCTGTTTTTCAAGCATAAGAAAACAAGCGTAACATAGTTTGCTTCTTCCTAATTATTGACTTTTTTGTTTAAATTTTGTATGTTTTAGGTTAATAATCTATTTACATTTACAGCAATTTTTGTGCCTTAAAAATATAAGATCAAGATCAGCCTAAAATCACGTCTGTTGTTCAAGCATAAAAATAAACAAACACCTTATAGTTATTTATGTTACCATTTATGATTTTTCAGGTTTTTACATTTTTATACATTTAGTGCCCTTGATATTGAACTCTCATTGTATAAAATTTTGTAAAATGTTTCTAGCAAATTGTTTTTTTTTATGCAAGTAAAGAAGTTTTTTTCATGTTCCTGAGAAATGTATTGAAATATTTTTGAGTGAAATACGCAGAAATTACCTGCTACAAATAATACCATTAAATACTACTATTAATCCTTCCTACATTAAATTAAGACTATAATAGTTTTGTTTTGTTTCCTTATGTTGTAATAAAGCGTTGAATTTTTGAAAAGCATGATTTACTGGTTTTCTTTACACAAATCTCCTTTCATTTGAGCTTTTGACATAGTTGA